AGAAAGCTGCTTGCTGGACTACCCCCTTTGCTTGAATGCAAATCAAAAGGCAAAGAAAAGGAATAAAGATTTAACGCCTCAAATCTTCAAATCTCAATGGAAATCTCAATCTTTTCAATAGACATCTCCATCCAAAAGCCGCCAAAAGCATAAAATCTCAATGGAAATCTCCAAATGTTTAATACAAATCTCCATCCAAAAGCCTGTAAGATAAGCAAATCCCAGCAAATTCAAAAGGGAAAAAGTAAACTATAACAATAAAAAATCCACTACAACTACCTCTCCAAAAAAAAGACATTGTTCTAGGGGCCTTTATAAATCAGCGCAGGGAAAAAACATAATTCTAGGGGTCTTTATAAATCTGAGGGCCACATTAAGACCAGGGCGGGCGATCGCGATCTGTGAGCCATGTTGGTGCGCCCTTAGAAAAGGTGTGCGATTGCAGTGGGGGAGCATTCGTTTCGTTTTGGGGACCTTGTGCGCCTTGGAACATGTGTAGCTGGTAGCGGAGCTGGAAGACACCTTCCGTGATGTCGCAGCCCTGTGCTGGTGCTTCGACCTTGAATGGGCCGCAGGCTTACACTGGTAAGGCCCATGAACTTGTTCCATAATTCAGTGGCCGCTCCTCTAAAAAGAATATCGGAAGTGGCCCCTTCTCTATGACAAGAGATGCCCTAGCTGGACGTGGAAGCGAGACACCATTCAACATCCTTTGCACATTAAAGGGTCGCGCATGGGACGCATGTGAAGACATTGAGATGTCTACATTGCAGGGCTCATCTGGCATGAAGGTATTTTGGAGCCACCTGTCAAGATATTCAAGTACGATGCAATCACTGAGCTGCCGAATGACTTTGGGTCCTTCTTAATGTCCCTGAGCCGTCGTAAGAACACGACCCTCCAAGAGTATGCTGGTGATTTTGAACGTGCGTTGCACAAATTGGAACAACACAATGTCAATTTACCAGACAAAGTTGTTGGTTGGTATTTTCTTCGTCGTGCAGGACTGAGCCAAAGCCAGCGACAGATCATCATGTCGAGCTTGGGCTCAGAGACTCTGAGTTTGGACAGTGTTCGAAAAGCAATGAACTTTGTCATCGGGCAAGTCAGTGTTCCAGATGATGCCTCTGCCAAGACAGGTGGACGATGGACCGAGTCCTTCAATTCAAGGATGCCGTGTACTAGGATTGTGACTTCGGCAAAGATGAAGACGACTATGACTATGGCATCTACTGGGCAGGCGAAGAAAATGAAGAGTATGAGGAAGATGACCCAGAGGATGAAGTTCATGATGTCACAGAGGACTTGGCATGGCAGCCGCATATGATGATGTGTCATGGCCGGCTACACCGAAGCTCATCAGAAGCTCAATGCTATGCGGCTATGCATATGAGCCGAGGATACCATCCGGTCGTGGCCATGGTCCCAGAGCAGCCATCTGGCAAGGGCTTTCAGTCCTAGAAGGGCTCCAGTGGAAAAGGCGAAGGCAAGAGCAAATCTGCCAAAGGCAAAGGTGGAAAAGGTGCACCTCGTCAAGCACCGAAGCCACCATCAGCCAAAGCCCGTGGCAAAGCAGAGAAGTGCTTGCGTTGTGGTCAGGCCGGTCATCGAGCTCGCAATTGCCCAACGGCCGGAGCACAGAAGAGGAAGGCAGAAAGCAGTCTTGATGACGTCAACATGGTCAGTTTGACCTGGAGGAGGTTCAGGTTGCTGGTGAAGAGATCTCAGAGTCCAGAGATGTGGCCATGACATCGGAGGGGAAGCTTGTGGACTACCTCCACACGCTTATGAGAGCCTCGGATTTGACGTCGACAGCATTCCGACCTTCCGATGCAAGAAGGGCTCAGGTTTGGCAACGGTGAGAAGAACATCACATCAGTTTGTCTTTGGGTGCCAGCCTTCATGGGTGGAGGTCGCATGTACGTGATCCCTGGCAGCGCCCCATTCCTTTTCGGACGATCCATCTTGGAGGCCTTGGACGTGACCGTCAACTATGCCCCAGGCCAGATCCGACGGGACAAGAAGAAGAGGCAGTCGTGGTGAATTCATTTGCCACATGGCTGAAGATGTGACCAAGGAACCAGTGAATGTCCTTCTCCAATTCTGAAGCTCACGTGCGCCCGGAGATTCTTTCCGTTCGCATGTTCTTTGATGGCAAAGCAGCAATGTTGAATGTTGATGAGGAAGGAGGAGACCACCAAGTCCATTTTGGACGTGCAGAAGGTTCGGTGGAAGTGTGAAAGTGTGCAACACCCTGTGATGAAGCAGAGGCCTTGTCGACCATGACCTTGCAAGAAGCAGTGACCATTGACCTTGAATCTAGTATCTAGTCTTGATGATGTCATTGTCACAGAAGATCTCACACTCGACCCAGAGGCCAATCAAGCAAGCCATCCAGAACTTCATCGCCTGCCGAGTAGCAAGTTGAAGAATCTGCTGCGTGACACAGAACGCCGGTTGAAAGAGATGGATGCAGCGTGTCAGCATCACCACTTCAAGAGTACGACAAGAAGTACACTCTCTGGCAGATTTTTGCTGGAGAGGGATAGGCGTCCTTCGCTACATGCTGCGCGATTCAGTCTGCAGGATGGGTGGGATTTCACAAGAAGTTCAAACCGCATGGCGGTTTTGAGACGCTTGCGGGATGCGGAACCAAATGCCGTTTTGTTGAGGCCAGCGTGCAGGTTGTGGAGCCAGCTTTTGAGCATCGCTGCGCATATCCTGGCTATCAGGCGCAACTGGAAGAGCAACGCCTGTGGGATCATCGCAACCTTTTGATGTGTCATTTTCGAGCACCAGAGGAGGCATGGACGTCTTGCCTTGTGTGAACACCCGAGGGAAGCAAGGCGTGGAAGACTCAGGCGTTTGATTCCATGACAGGCTATGACGGCTATGACGCACATGTTGACCAGTGCATGTTTGGCATTCGGCTTCCAGAACCCCAAGGTGAGATTCAGCCAGTGAAGAAGCCCACCAACTTGCGTGTGACCAGTGCAACGCTTGCTCAGCAGCTGACCAGGACGTGTGATGGCAACCACAATCATACACATCTTGAAGGCCAAGTTCCAGGATGTGGTGCGATGTCGCGGCCCATCCACAAAAGCTGGCAACACATTTGGTGAACTGCATTATTAAAGCTGACCTTGACAGCATGGCAGATGTGTATGCTGCAGAGGACATGTCAGTTGAAGAGAGTTCAATGAAGGTTGAAGCATTTAATCCATTTGCGACAGGATCAGGACCAATTCCGAATCGGCATTCTACGAGCTGCAGGGAGGTCAGAAAGAGCAGAAGATCACCAAGAAGGGTGAAGCAGCAATGAATTTGGATGCTGTTGAATTTCAACCGTTAGGTCCAATTCCAATTCGCAGAAACCGTGTTCTCCGAGCTCAAGTCGGTCCACGTTCAGTTGACAATGCGCAGAGGCTGCGCAAGAACTGGGTCATCCATCCAGGTTCGAGCAGCTGGCCAAAATGTGTCCACTGTGCTACGCAAGGAAGCCACCAAAGCAGAGTCCACCTGAAGCGCACCGAATTCAATGGTCGCATCTTGGTCGATTCGCATTGGATTTCGTGCGATGATGGCATGGTGAAGGAGCGTCTCCCTGCCCCAGGGACACCTGCTGCTTGCCGACGTGAAAGGACAAGGAGGAAAAACGACCGCGACGAGACGTCAATGTGTGTTGACAATCATTGATAATGCCACCAGATATGTCGCCATCAGAGTCCTGAAGTCCGAGAAGGCGGAGGAGTTCACGAAAGGGACTTGAGAGAGCATGGGTCAAGCATTTTGGTGCCCCCCGTGTCCTGCGAATTGATGAGGCTAAAGGTTAGAGCAGCATTCATGTTCGTGAATGGGTTATTCATTGACAACCTCAAGAAGGCTGCATTGTATGTTCCCCATGCCGTGAATCAGTTGTCCTTCCATCGTTGTTTTTCCCCTCAACAGTGGGTTCTTGGCAAGTCTATGACGTATGTGCATGGTCTCAGTGGTGAGTTCTTCAATCCTGCTCAGTTCAAGCCAGACGGACACAAGCCGCCACAGCTTTCTTTTCAGCAGATGTTGACGCCAAGCTGCGTCGAAAATTCGCCCAGAAGTTTTCGGAGAGGCAGGAAGATTTCGTGATTGGACAGCAGGTTTGGTTTTGGAGGAAGAACTTCGACGGCTGCGCGAGTCTGGATGGCGAGGACCTGCCAGGATTGTTGCTTTTGAGAAGCAAGCCAGTGTGAACGTTTACCGGCTATGTCATGGCGCTTCCTTGGTTCTTTGTGGTGCAAGACAGGTGAGACCAATGGTGTCATGCCAGTTGCTGTTGACAGACCCGCAGCCTTGCGTGATTTACAAGAGCTGAAGGCCCGAAGTACGACTCAGTTTCGCGATGAGCTGAGAAAGCAAGGCATGACTGATGAAGCTGAACAATTTGATGGCAATGACCTGGACATTGAAGCAGACTATGAGCCATCAGAGGCACCTGAAGGCTTTGTTCCCGATGACAGGTCGGATGATGAACAGCAGCCAGCCGCAGAGGATGATGTCAACAGGTGGCATTCCTGGAGTCGTCAGTCTTTTGTTGCCGCGACTTGCAGATGAAGATCGAAAGAGGACGAGAAACTGTGACAACAGCAGCTCCAACAGAAGATGAAGGACATCCCAGCCGCCAGTAGTCCAAAGAGAAAGTCACCAACAAGTTCACCAGATGAACCGCTGTGCAAGGCAGCCAGATCAACGACGTCAGGGGCAGCTCGACATGACCTTCCGCAATTGAGAACGACAAGATGTCGGGCACCTTGATGGGGAGCATCTTCCAGTTTCTGACTCAGATGACCTCATCATTGAAGACATCTACCTGACACAGTTGCCTGAAGATGCAGCAGCGGGCTGGCGTGTTGTTGATGGCTGCATCGAGATGGATGACGTCTACATTGCTGCAATCAGAAAGGGTGAAGTGAATGAGCTTGAAAGTGAAAGTTGAAGCCTGATGCTGAATCAGTACTTCCAGAACAATGTGTGGCAGTTTGCAATGCCCGAGCAGATCGAGGAAGCGATCAGGGGCAATCGGGTCATCACTGCTCGTTGGGTGTTTACTTGGAAGCGCATTGATTCAGAAGATGGAGTCACTCGTCGTTGGAAAGCTCAGGCAAGACTCGTCCTTCGTGGCTTCCAGGACCCGGACATTTTGAGCATGAAGGCCGCATCGCCAACCAGCTGGAAGGATGGCTCGAACCTTTTTTGCTGACAGTGGCAACTTGGTTTGAATTTGACTGGACAAAATAATATTGCACGGATGTAAATGATGTAAAGGCGACTTTTCTCTCTGGCAAAGGATTCGATCGTTTGTTGGTTGTGAGATTGCCAATGGATTGTTTGCCATTGATCGTTGGAGCACAGAAGCATGTTCACAACAAGCATGTTTACATGAAAATGAAGAAGTCGGCATATGGCCTTTATGATGCTCCATTGCTTTGGTTTGAAGAGGCAGCCTCAAGATTGCTCAAGCGACAGTGTCCTCAACATCCACTTGATAAGTGCTGTTTCATGAGGACAAACAGCAAGACAGGTCAGCCCAATGTGATGCTGATTCTGCATGTTGACGACATGTTGTTGACAGGTGATGCCAGAGACACTGACTTTCAAGAAGCCCTCAAGTATTTTTGCGTGCTGATTTTGATTTTTGCAAATGGTATGAGCTAATTCAGGCTCAGTCGCTGAGATACTGTGGAGGCGCTGTTTTGAAGACTGCATATGGCACTGAGGTCAGCTATGAAGAGCACATTCGCAAGATTTGTCCCATGAACATCAGCAAGGAGCGAAAAGACGAAGATTCAGTAACACCAAGAGAGGTGAGTGATGCAAGAGGCTTGATAGGAGCACTTCAGTGGCCAGCAACGCAGGAGTTCCACCCTTGCGTGGATCGATGTCGATGCAAGCTGGTGAGATTCCGAAGCGCAGAGTGTCTCATTTGAAGGAGCGTCGATTCGCAAAATCGAATGCAGCTGTGACCTTGAAGTTCATTGCAAAGCCAGTCGCAAAGCAGAAGGCCTTCTCCAAGATGTGCATCATCTGCTATGCAGACGCGCCTTTTGTGTCCCTAGTAACAAGACATCGCAGGGGGGCTATGTTCTGATGGCGTGTGATAAAGGTGTACTGAATGGAGAGAACATCCAGCTTCCATTCTGGTGTGGAGGTCTTTCAAGGTGCCTCTTGTATGTCAAAGTTGGAAGAACTTTTGATGGCCAAGACCTTCCTTGATTTTGAAGCATCCTCATTCAACGCTTCAAGCAGTGAAGGAGAATTTGGAAGGTGAGTGTGCAATGGCGACGGTTTGCAAAGCTTTGCTTGCTGCTGTTCACAGAGAAACTGCGCAGGCTGCAACTGACAAGCGTGTTGCCATTGAGGGACTTGTCATCAAAGATCTTTTGAAGGATTTGAACTGCCAGTGGCGTTGGGTGTCAAGTGAGAGGCAGCTCAGCGACAGATTGACACAGGTTGGTGCCTGGCAAGCTTTCGTCGAACGGTACAAGGGGAGCTACATACAACTTGTTGCCGATGAAGCCTTTCGTGCTGCCAAGAAGAAGAGCAAAGAAGAGCGTGAGAGAACTGTGTCTGAAACCAGAGTTTCCAGAGTGGCATTGGCGCAGACAATGGTTGCATTGCTGATGAACACCGAGATCCAAGGTGCTGACGCATTGAAAACATTAAAAATAAAAAAATACAACCGTGAAATGCAGTTTTTTTGCATGGTTCTACAATACCAAAATATCATACTCAAATGGTTCCACAATGCAAATAGCACCTGCCAAGCCAATTGAATTTTGAGTCGCATTGTCCTTTTTATGTGTTGTTAAGAAGTTTTTGCGCGCGTTTGCAGTCTTTTTGCCTTGTGGCAAAATAGAAACAAAGGCAGTCGGGCCGCAAAATCAGCAAACACCCGCGTCGACGCGTCAGAAAGACAAAAGATGCAAAATTTTGGTTTCGCATCCGCTTCGGCAATCTTTGTAGGTTTTTTTTAGGTATTGTTTCTCGCGGGTCGTATGTTTTTTGTATTTTTTTAACGGGTCGTGTGTTTTCGTATTTTTTGTGTATTTTTTGCGGGTCGTACTGTTTTGTATTTTCATCTTTTTTTCAGATTTGTATTTTGTATGTACTTTGTATTTTTTGTATGTTGTATGTTTTCGTCTTTTTAATTTTTGTATTTTGCAAAAAAGTCGGATTTTTTGTATTCTTTAAAATACAACTTTGTTTTCGTTTTTTGTATTTTTGGAAAATACAAAACAGGGATCGTATTTTGTATTTTTTCGTATGTTCTAAAAATACAAATCTTCAGCCTCGAACTGCGAACCGGCAAAAACCACCGGCAAACTTTTTTGACAACCAGCGAAACGTGGTCAGGCTACCCGACAAACACGAGAGGCTGCTCCAAAAGACAACGGGCCAGCTTCCCATCCCACCCATATCAATGCGTAGCAAGTGGCAAATCACGTGAATATTGCTTGCAGTTTTGCATTTTTGTTAGGGTTGTATTTTTCAAAAGTGTACTTTTAAAAATAAAACTGGTGAATTGTGTTTTCCAGTCGTACTTTTTTGATGTTTATATTTGTAATTATTTCATGGCTTATAGGCTGTACCTGGATCCGGGGGACCAATGATAGCAGTGCATGGTGTGTTGATGCATTGCTCGCGACGGTTTGCTGACGCTTGTGTGGAGCATCAGTCAATGGATCATGAATTGTTTCAGGGCTCGAGACAGCTTTGAAGATCAGGTGCAAGACCTGAAAGAGCAGGTATTGAAGCTTGAGCAGGGAAAGATGGACCTTGAGCAGGAGCTGGAGGTCAAGAATTTGAAGGTGGAAAAGATTACCAAGCTCAATGAGCACTTGGGGTGAGCCAGTGGCCAGTGCAAGAAAATGATGCAGTGCGCACCTTCCGGACAACAGCAAGCAGTTCGCATGAAGGGCCAATGTACATTACACCGAACGGTGAGTGTTGGCGCAGGAGCGTGACGTGTGCTGGACTCAACTCAGTTATGAGGAGGCCGTGCGCCCGCTGTGTTCGGAGGGGATGACCACCCCTTTGTGTGAGATTTTCCGCTGGAAACCTTTGCGTGAGGGACATGAGAGTTCGAGATGACTTCGTCGTGCCCGTGACTACCGCCTCAAGACCAGGGCGGGCGATCGCGATCTGTGAGCCATGTTGGCGCGCCCTTAGAAAAGGTGTGCGATTGCTGTGGGAGAGCATTCGCTTCGTTTTGGGAACATTTGTAGAAGTGCTTTGGAAGGCATTCCTTGTTTGGGATGTGTCACTGCCAGCTGCAATTGGAAGTGGGCGCCCTTTTCTTAAAATGGAAGTGTAGAGTGTAGAAGATGACCGGAGAGGCAATCTTGGCTTTGGCTGGCATTTTGCCCACAGAAGAGTATGCGAAAGAGCTGCGGAACGTTTTGCTCTCGGAGCAGCTGAAACCTACTGGAGAGTTCGTGTCTTGACCGTCTTGACCTCTCTTATCACATGCAGTGCAGGGTCGTGTTGGGGTGGTGTGCTCGGATCATCGAGGGACCTTCCTCAACTTGACACAGGATGGGGGACCACGTAGGCTACGTAGACCATGCCAACATTCATTTGTGGCCCATTTCATGTTTTCAAGTTGAAACCCTTTTGCCTGCTAACTCTTTCGTTGCTGATTTGGAACATTGTTGGCATTGACTTGCGCCTCAGGTTGGCAGACAGCAAAATGTGCATGCGACTGGAAATGGCTGCGTGACAATGGTAGGCCATATTCTGATATATGTGCTGTGGATGAGTTCTGTCACTACGATTGGCACATTTGGTTTGTGCGTTCCAATGTCAACATTACCAACACAAGTTGAAGGCTTCTCTTGTTTGGATTTTGCTTGACAGGCTGGCTCCACCACATGCTCCAGGAAAGTCAGCCTCCATCGTGGGATTACCCGCGGGACTTCAGTCCTGGATGGAAGCACTTCAGCCACTCAATTGCCCAGGATGGGTGTGTGTGTATGTGTTCACCCCATCGTGGTGGGGATTCTTGCGGCAAAACACTCCCAGCCACATCTCCTTCGTCCTAAGTGCAAGTTGAGTATAGTTAGTTGAGTTACCGTTTGTGCGGGGGCAAGATTGGAAAAATGGTTTCGACATATTTGGGAGGATAGAGTCGATACGAATCACTTCGGTCAGGAGGACGGACGCAGGGAGTTTCACATGGTTTCTATTGGGTCGGATTTGGAATTTGGCCTAATCACGCTCCACTCAAACAGAGTGCAAGCGTACAGACTAGACTAAACTGCCGGGCGCCACTCCGGTAACTGTTTGTCAAAGGTGGCCAAAATATGTGCACTTTCAAAGAAAAAACTCAAATTGGAGACAAGTCAGAGGGTCAAAATTCAAGCAACAGATGAAGGGACTTCAACCAGAAGATGCATGCCTTTGACGCAGCACACATCTTACACACGTGGTTGAAGCTAGAATGCGGCGTGAAACAGTTTTATATGGTTTTTATGTATTCTCCACACTTGCACCCAGACACTGAGGAGCTCTCAATCGCGCGCCTGGAAAGTAGCTTGCTTGCAGAAACACAATGATACAGCTGCGTGGGCGAACCCACTGACATGCAACCTGAGGCAGCAAGGGCGTGACCGTCCTGGACTCCCTGAGACTGTAAGAGGTATCCTGTATCTATTCCTCCCTGGAGAACTCTCCACGAAGCTGAATACAGAACTGAGGTAGGTATAGATGCGTGATGATATCATGAATCATATGATACATGACCAGTGTGCGCCCGTGGAACCACAACTGCCCTCTCTAGGTGACTGTATGTCCCCTCTCAGGCTGGGTCGTGGCATCTCGGAGGTCTTCTCCAAGGGCAGCTCAGAGCCTTGGAGGTGAACCATGTGATCCAAAGCAGGCTGAGAATCTTGAACGTAGTAGCTTCTTGTTCCTAGGAGCCCTAGTAGCTTCTTGTTCCTAGTAGCAAGGCCAGGAGCCCCTAGTAGCTTCTTGTTCCTAGCAGTAAGGCCAGGATAGTAAGGCCAGGATCCCCTAGTAGCTTCTTGTCCCTAGTAGTAAGGCCAGGACCCCCAGTAGCTTCTCGTTCCCAGTAGTAAGGCCAGGAGCCCCTAGCAGCTTCTTGTTCCTAGTAGGGCCAGGAGCCCCTAGTAGCTTCTTGTCCCTAGTAGCAAGGCCAGGACCCCCTAGTAGCTTCTTGTTCCTAGCAGTAAGGCCAGGAGCCCCTACTAGCTTCTTCCTCCTAGCAGTAAGGCAAGGAGCCCCTAGTAGCGTCCTTGCTCCTAGTAGTAAGGCCAGAAGCTCGTAGTAGCTTCTTGTTACCGGTGGTAAGGCCAGGAGCCCCTAGTAGCTTCTTGTTGCTAGTAGCAAGGCCAGGAGCCCCTAGTGTCTTCTTGCTCCTAGTAGTAAGGCCAGCAGCTCTTAGTAGCGCCCTTGCTCCTAGTAGCGATGGTAGTATGGCCGGGAGCCCCTAGTAGCTTCTTTTTGCTAGTAGTTACTGCACGTGCATTTAGTGTTTGTGTTTGCTTTCCGACCTTCGACTCTTCAAGATGTACGTGCCATATGGGCCATATGGCCTTATGCCAGACCTGCATACGTACATAGCATAACGATGCATAACGTGCCTGAGGACCTCTCCTCAAGCGAGGCTTGCTGCAAGATACCGACAGTTTTTCAGCCCTTTGTCGTTTGATGTGTCTCAGTGTGTCTCAGTGGCATTGGGCTAGTGAAGACTAGAAGCTCCAGGCACCATCCTTAGCCCATACGATTCTTGACTGCAAAGATTGTGGATTGTTTTGCACCTTCTTTTCAAAGCAAAGCAAAGGTCGCAACTTCTGTCCAACAAGTCATGACCCTTTTAGCCTCTTTGTTGTATCTGAGAGGCTGACCTTGGAGTAATTACGCCGGACCGGGGCAGTGCAAACATGGGCCAGGTCGAGCCTCTACGCCCATCATGAATCCACTGGGAAAAGCTTCATGTCATGCCACGATGTAATTCTTGCAAACCTCGATTCTCATCGATTTGCAAGCTTTTGTTTGGGATGTGAGGTGAAAGAAAGCTGGGAATTGTGACCCGTGCGTGCATCTCATCACCACCTCTTCGCACTGCAGAGATCCTGTGGGAGTGTTCTGGGAGATCGACCTTAGTTTCTGGGTTTGAGTATTCCAGATGCTGTAGCTCTTGGCTGCTGCCACCTGAATCTGGTCGCGCTTCAGCGCTGTTCTGCCATTAAAGCTGAGCCTTCTGTTTTCGTAGCTTTGTACAGGAGCAGATGCATCACAGCACGCTGCAGTGTGGACAGATGTGCTGCCTTTGCTTAAAGAACTGGCCGCCCGAGCAGAGCAAATCACATGGAATGTATATACACGTAAAACGCAATATATAACCCACATATATATATATATTATATATATATATTTAGAATATACATGGTTCCTTATTCCTTATAAGGCGATAATATACACATATCACACATGTTACAGTATGTTTGCAATACGTGTTCAATGGTATTAGCACTCCTTGGAGGTTGCGGAATCTGTGGATTCCCACTAGGTCCTGTGATTGAAAAGGAAACCGTCCAAGAATCGGGTGGACAGCTGACCACACAGCTCACTTGTGCAGGCGAACGGCAAAAACGCGCCGCAGCTGCAAATAGATGTCCTGGAAAGTTTCACACACTATCTAGATTAACCTTGCCGTATTCATTTCATACATCCTAGACATAGATGATGCTATGCACGACAGATCGATGTTGTAGAAACTGCGCTTTAGTCGAGGATGTTTGCAGCAGGGCTTGGGGCCGGCTTGGCGTAGGACTTCATGGTGAATAGAACTGCTTGCTTGAACAGACTGTTTGCTTGCTGGTTTCTGTAAAATGCTCCCTCTTAGTATGCCACGGGCGGCGACATCAATGTGATCTCATAAGAATTATTGTTGGATTGAGTTCACCAGCGGCTGACAAGCGACTGGAGGTCGAGGTGAAGTATGAGAAGGATGACGCAGCGTATGTAGGACGGTCGGACTCTTCCTGATCTGTAAGGGTTGGATTTCAGTCAGTTCAACCGACGGTTGGACATGAAGCATGACCACAGAATTCAGTCAAGGCAGGAGCAGCACAGTCACTGCCCTGCAGGAGGGATGGTGGATGGCAAGCGCGAAGGATTTGGTGCCTTTGCTGCAGAATGCCTTTCAGTTAGCTCCCATTTGGTTTGATTGCACTTTGGGGTACTAGCACCTGCTACAAAAGAGCTTCCAGCCTGTGGTGCTCATTTTGATCGCGCCCCTGTTCTTGTGTATATATATATATATAAATATCAGTGTCTATGTGTGTGTGTGTGTTCTGAAGAGGGTTTCTTTGACCAGGGAGCGAAGATCAAATAAGATCAAGCCAAGCTGGACTGAGAACGCAGAAACCAGTGCAGAGAGGGTGCAGGTTTAATGCCAGCTTGAGGCATCTACAAGAGTGCCATAGAAACGCCACAAGCCTAGACATGCTTCTCACTCTGCTTGGAATTGATGTCTTGAGCAATCATTTGCAGTAAACATTGAGAGCGATCTATATAACTATACTGCGCAGACTCTGTCTGAGGGGTTTCAGTCTAGCTCCTGTGTCATTCGAATGGTCAATTTGCACAACAGCATTGGAATGAACAATGAACAAGGTATGAAGGTGAGTGGAAAAACGCTGGGAGCCCAGCCCCGTTGTTTGGGCAAAGGTCCATTTTGGCATAAAGAGCTTCATCAACCGCTAGGCAAGTTTCAGCTCCTGCATTCGCACTGATAAGGACAAGCAGCATGGAAGTGGAAAGCACTCGTGGAGCGATGGCCGTTCCTATGAAGGCCAGTATGTGACACTTGGCCTTCCATCCATATTTGCAAGACGCATCTCCGTGACAGTCAATACACAGCACCTAACATTTGTGCTACTTGTGAACTATTTGATACTATTTGCAATTCCTGGCCCGTTCATGTCCATTGGACACTCCAGTATTTGGGTGTCTATATATATACAATTGAACTAGCTTGTCCTATATACTGTACTGTATATTGCCGCGGCGTTGATCGTGCCATTTTAGGTTTGACACTTTGTATTGTTTTGTTGCTACACTGTAGCATACTTGATATTATTGTTAATACACGGCCTTTTCACAACTGCAAGATGAGCCCAGCGCACAAATGAGGACATGTAAAAGACAAATAGAAGCTAAATCAGGGTTTTCCTGGTTCTGGACATTTAAGAGACAAACAAGAGACAAGTAAAAGCAAACAAGAGACAAATAAGCTCCTGCGTTTGTGGGAAGCTTCAGGGTTGACAAACACACACATAAAAAAAAGCAGTTGCTCGCCATTGTTCATTCTGACCTAGGCTCGTTTGCATTTGAGAGGGTACGGCACAATCGATCCCTCCATTCACTTAACAGCCTCAGCAGCCCTGAGTGATGAGCTTATGCCATCTTATGCCTGGGTTTTCTAGATGTGCGCATCCCCATGGATTTTGTCCTGGTTGCATTGCCATTCGCCAAGGAATGGCCGCTTCTCCGGAAAGGGGAAGATGGCAGCTTGGCACACTCTTTCCCAAACAGCATTCGTTTTAGAAGCCGGAGTCAATGCCAAGCTGCTGCTACCAGTAGATCTACTATTTGTGGGGGGCTGCTGTCCCAAAAGATCGTGAGAGGCTATTTTGTGATGAGTTATTTTCGACAGTTCGACAGTCATAGTTTCCGCATTGGCTCAGGTGTGGACAACCGACAAGGCTTTTTGTTTCTGTATCTTTCTGTGTTCGTGTTCCTAGTTTGTCAAGCAGTAGGAAGCCAAGAGCTCAGTGTTGATTAAACCAGTCGTGTGTGGCAGGGAATCATGACCTATGAAGGACAGGGCATGGGCCATTTGAATGGCTCTTGCTATTTGTTGATTTGTCCTGTTGGCCATGGTAGAATAATGCAGAACAGCTCTTGCATGGCCTTGAGCGCGATATGGTGTGTTCGCGTAATCTTTGCCCGGACCTATCGGCTGGACACTATCCCAAACTCACACATGTACTGTCGCACTGGCACGCGCGCCCACACACACAGACAGACAAGCACACTCTGACATTGGTTTTCAGTTAACTCAATTCCCAGGTGGAAGGAAGGTGAGAGAACCGCATGGCGAAAGGTCCAAGAAATTGTAGGTGTTTGAACAAAGGTTGTTTCTCATGTCTGCAGAACTCAGCGGTGGCGAAACGGGCGGCGCGGCGCGGCTGCAGAAACCAAAGTTTTGGGGGTGGTAGCGTGAAGAACCATGAATCAAAAAGTGGAGAAGTAGAGTCACAGCGTGGAAAACAGTTTCGGTCGCAGGTACAGGAATGTGCGTCCACATTCCCTTCCAGCTGAATCCCACTCTGAATCCCATAGCTTCGTTGGCATGGCTAGGGAAACAGCTGCCATGCCCCCTGCGTGGAAACTGCACAATGAAAATTCAGTGCCCCTGGATACGGGGGTTGACGCACACAGTATGCCGTGAGCCGGCGCTTCTGGAGAGAGGCTTGGCGGTCAATAGCTTGCTTGCTGGCTGGCTGGCTTGCTTTCTTGCTTGCTTGGCTACTGGCTTGCAGTGCGGGAAGTGGGTGAAGTGGGGAGGCATGTAGGCTTGTGGGAGTGCATGTTGAAAGGGCGTGGCGGTGACATGGCTGGGGCTTGTGGTGGATGAGGTAGCAAAGCAGGTAGTGGTTGTGGTGGTGGTGGTGGTCGTGGTGGTGGTGGTGGTGTAAGTTGCCAATTGCAGTGGAGCTGGTGATGTTGCCAGCAATAGGGCCTGACGTCTGAAAACGTGAATATAATAGATTGCTTGCTTGCTTGCTTGCCTGCTTGCTGGCTGCTTGCTTGCTTGCTTGCTTGCTTGCTAGGCGTTTTCTGTGTTTGTGGAAAGTGTATCATATTGCGCCTCAGTCTGGGGTGTGGAGAAGGAGCTGTGTAATTGACGGCTGTGAAGCGGTGTGGTGGGTGCAGTAGCACGGCTGCTGGTTTGGTGTGATTTGATTACATCGAACCGGAGTAACCGTGGTCAGACTGACATGTCCCCGATTCGAAGGAAGTCGGCTGCTTGTTGTCAAGGAGAGGGGAGAGAGGAGAGTGAAGATGCGAGAGGCGAGGAGGGAGATTTGTTTGCGGTGTGTGGCTGGAGAAGTTGGTGGTCGGCGATGATGTGTGAAAATCAATCAGCGTAGGGTGTAGTGCCTGGTGTATGGAAGGGGAAAGGTTGTAGGCCATTGTTCTTTGTTGCCCCATCGAACCGGAGTAACAGCGGTCAGACTGACATGTCCCCGGTTCGAAGGAAGGGCGGTCGGTTGCGCGGCCGTTGGTGAATTGAGCGGTTGGGAAATAGAGGAAGAGTTTCATGGCGCTGGGAGGATGATGCTGCTGTGTTGGCCGTGGTGGTTGGTGGGGAGGTCGTGTAAGCGCGCAGCGGCTCGGCGGCGCGGCAGCTCAGCGCAGGCAAACGGCAGGCGACGGTGTCAAAAGACCTGAACCTAAAAAGCCTTAGAAAAGAGAAGAACGAAAGACAGAAAGAGAAACAGAAGAGGGCAAGAGAGAAAGATAGGTGTAGCTCCGCGCACATCTGTCGAGCAAAAGTGCCGAATGAACGGCCAATTAGGGAGTGAGACCCCTGCACTCTTGAATTTCCGCGTGCAAAAAATTCCGAGGAGAAGAAAGAGCGAACCGAAAGGCGAAAGGTCGGAAGACTTGAAGGTGTTTGAACACTTGTTTGGCGCAAGTCTGCAGTCCCTGTGCATTAGCCGCTTTACTAAACCTAATCAAAGGATTGCCGTATGAGCCCGGCGGCTCGCCCCTGCGTGGAAACTGCGCAATGAAAATTCAGTGCCCCTGGATACCGGGGTTGACACACACAGTATGCCGTGCGTCGGCGCTTCTGGAGAGAGGCTTGGCGGTCAATAGCTTGCTTGCTGGCTGGCTGGCTGGCTTGCTTTCTTGCTTGCTTGGCAACTGGCTTGCAGTGCGGGAAGTGGGTGAAGTGGGGAGGCATGTAGGCTTGTGGGAGTGCATGTTGAAAGGGCGTGGCGGTGACATGGCTGGGGCTTGTGGTGGATGAGGTAGCAAAGCAGGTAGTGGTTGTGGTGGTGGTGGTGGTCGTGGTGGTGGTGGTGGTGGTGTAAGTTGCCAATTGCAGTGGAGCTGGTGATGTTGCCAGAAATAGGACCTGACGTCTGAAAACGTGAATATAATAGATTGCTTGCTTGCTTGCTTGCTTGCTTGCCTGCTTGCTTGCTAGGCGTTTTCTGTGTTTGTGGAAAGTGTCTCATATTGCGCCACAGTCTGGGGTGTGAAGAAGGAGCTGTGTAATTGATGG